TTTCTCTTTTTTTTCAGCTTTCTAATTTATGATTTCATTCCTCTTCTTCAGCATTTTGTAAGTTGCCCTAGGTCCCAGAATTGAGAGAACAACTGGGCATAAAATAAAACCAATAAAGAAGGTAACCAACACTCACCCGAGAGGTTCCCTCCCTAGCAGTGAGATGTTAGAAGTCAATTCACCCTCTAGATAAAGCAGGACCTCGTTCTGCTGTAGCTGCTGCCTTTGAGTTTTAAAGGCTGGTATTTCAGTCCTAGCCTGATTCCTTCTGTCATGCGTGGAAAGACTGAGAAGCACCTGTTTGCAGTTGCTGGGCCCAACTATGATGAGGTGATTGTTGCTGCAGTTGCCTAGCAACCAGTCCTTCACTTGGAGGAAGCCATTGGCCAGGGATAAATCATAGGCCTTTTGCGCAGAAGAGCCCCACTGAAGGTAGCTGGGGCTCCAACTGTGAGGGCAATGTGGAAGCAAGTCCCATCGCTATCATTTCTTACCCATCCACATGTCCATCAGACCTTCGTCCATGAAGATCTGAAGGTGCACTCATAGGGGCCTTCAGCTGCCTGTACTTAACAGTGTTTCTGTGATTAAGTGCTGTGATAACAAAGCAGGACTCCCAACTGGACATAGTGTAAATTTATTTAGGTGAACACGCTGGAAAGCATATTTTCAGACCTTAACATGGGGTGTGCAAAAAACAAAAAAACAAAAAAAAACAGAACAAAAACCGTGACATCTACCTGGGCAGGGGGCATTGCAGACAAGATGCATATGTGTGCTCCTGTCCATATTGCAGTCTACTTTCAAGCTGTAACACCTGAATAGGGTTAAAATATCCCAAGTCTCAATCTCCTTTCCCTCAGGTTAAGAAATTAAGAAATTGGCTGCTTTGGAGACAGAGCAGGCGCATTTCAGAACATAGACATCACGATGCTTGGATCAGGATACAGCCTCTATTTCGGCCTTCTCTGTAGGTTTTACCAAGTCAGCAACCTCCCAGTCCATGAGGTTTCAGGGCTAAAAACGGGGATTCAGTGGACAGGTCCTTGAGACAGTACAGAAGTGGGCTCATGTGATGGGATAGTAGTAGAGGAGGCAACGGCAGAGAGAAAATCCCAAGATGATTCTGGGCCAGCTTGACTGTGGCAATGGGCACAAGGGGCTCAGAATCCAGGTAAAACCAGATTCACTAAGTAATATAACCTATTGCTAGAGGAAAGAAAAGGTTCTGCACCGCCAGGTAAGTATCAATGTGTACCCAGCAACTGCAGGGGTTAACACCATTCTGGCCAAAGGTACATTGCATGTGGCCTTACGTACAGCACACATGACATGGGGGAGGATCTTTGAATCCCAGCACTGCTTGTGGAAGGTTCATTACCAGCCCAGCAAAAAGTGTCCCCTCCTCACACCAGCTTTGAGCTGCTGCTGTTGCCAGAGATTGTGCAAAGGTTCATGAGTCCTGATGCGGGTGCACTACCCTCTGCCCTCATTCCAAGTTGTCTGATGGGAGCCAAGCACACATACCATGAGTCCTCTCTCGGTTCTTCTGCTCCTTGTTCCTTGGTATTACTGCCTGAAGAGCCAGTCCTCCCCTGAGAGTTCAGTCAGGACCCTGAGGACTTACAACCTTGATTTCTCAATCTGGTGTTTTGGACATCAGTATCCATTAACCCCAAACCAGCATGGCAAAAACCAGGAGCACTGGGAATCATGGTCCAAAACATGCCAAGAACAACACACTAGGCAAGAACAGCCTACCCAGTCAAGTGTTCTGTTTCCCACTGTGGCCAAGCAGAAATGTCTCTCAGAAGTAAGACAAAATGGCAGCTGTTGATATGCCAAGGAGGGAATATAAAAGAGTTCCGTTAAGGAGGAATATAGATGGAAGGGTCTGGAACTAGGTGTGAAAATGAAGTGGGGATCTCCACTCCTGCCCAGAGCATGTTCTGGCAATGATAAATGTGCTGGTGGCAGGAAAAATCACCATCTTAGAACTGCAGGGTTGAAAGGGACCCTATGGATCATTGAGTGCAGCCCATCAAGGAGGCCCAGTGTGGGAATCAAACCCCCAACTTCTGGATCCACAGCCAGATGCCTAAACCACTGAGCTATCCTGCAGTTCAATAGTCTTAGAACAGCACAGCTGAAAAATGGGGGATTTAAGATAGGATTTACCTTCTTGTTTTCAACTCAAGAATGTATCTTTTTCAGTGAACAACGCTGGGGTGGGGCTTGTTGGCCCCATCGAGTCCATATCCATTGATGACATGAAGCGTGTTTTTGAGACCAACTTCTTTGGTGCCATCCGCATGATCAAAGCTGTCCTTCCTGGGATGAAGCAGAATCAAAAGGGCCACATTGTTGTCATCAGCAGTGTCATGGGGTTACAAGGTATGAATGGCATTTGGGGTTGGGTTACAGGATCTGATTGAGCCATACCAGGACCCTAATTTTTGTTAAGAGGCCCACAGCAGTACTAATATGTTGAGTGTGATTCCAACAGTTGTTGTTACTTGTTGTCTCTAGAGACTCCTCAAAACCCAAGGCCCCTAAACTGGAGGTACTTAGGTGGTGCATGAATTTGAGGCCCTTTATACTCTTCTAAAAAAACTTAAAAGTGGTGGTATACAAGGTTCCTCTCCTTTCCACATCAGCCTCACAACAACTCTATGAAGTACAACAAAGCTTTAAAAAAAGTAACTGACCCAAAGTCACCCAATCAGGTAGCCTCTTGGCTTACTAGGGACTAGAACAAAACTCTCCCGAGTCCCAGTCAAGCACTCTAACTGCTACACAAAACTAGGCATCGATAAAGTTTAAATTCATTTTGCAGAATCAACTTTGAGTCCATGTTGTCAAACAAAACACTATAAAGAAATCTGACCTTTCATCAGCAGAAGTTTGGATGGGCATATTTGATGAACATCTAGTGTACTTAATAATGTGACAGACTATAGGACTCAGGAGGCCTGGGTTCAAATCCCCAATCAGCCCTGGGAGGGCATTGGAAAAACCACTCCTTAAATACTTAACTGACTTTTAAAACCCTGTTAGGATCATTGTAAATTGGTTCCAACTTGACAGCATATCACATACATACACACACACACAAAATTCCAATCAAGTTACATCCATTTACTAAGCATTACCCCAAAATACCAGGGCTGTATCCTGGTGCCCACAAGATGCAAGACTGAGACTTGCTTTCCGGGAAGGCAGGGGTTAAACCATCACCAGCTGATGAAATATTTTTGTTCTGCTCTGCTTGTTTACTCTAGTGCACAAACAACTTTTGTGGACCCCAGTACTATGCTGATCCATATAGTTTGTGGGATGTATATATAGGAGTGTTTCCACTCCTGTTTAGTTTTCTTCCTGCATTCTGCTTTACTACTACTACTACTACTACTACTACTACTACTACTACTACTACTACTACTATTATTATTATTATTATTTTATTTTATTTTATTTTGCATTACGATTTTTGCACCACAGTGCAAAAATGAGAACTAAAAACAAAAAAAAAATGAAAAGGCACTGGAGTGGGCAGATAAAACAAGGACAAAAGGGGAGAGAGAGAGAGAGAGCAAAGCAAGGAGTAAGGAAGAAGAGAAGTTACTATTTCTCTTTATGTTGCATGTCACTTTTGCACCAAGCACAAAAGATAAAACTAAAACTTTTCAAAATCAAATTAAAACGCACTGGTGCACAAACACAGAGGTTTGAGAGCAGTGGGTGGGTAAAACAAGGAAGTAAGGAAAGAGACACTGAAGTAAGCAGGGAGACAGCAGAGCAGCTATAGGAAAGGGAGGGCAATCTGGGTTCAGCCTAAGAACTCAGGGAATATTTTCAAAGGTGTGTGGACAGACAGGACTGGGATAATACAGTGCATCCCACTACAAGCAGTACCAGATACCCTCCCCAATACAGGATGACTGATTCAGGTCTGTAACCAAAAAAAATACAAGAACACACCCAGAACAGCTGAGGGACTATACCACAATGTGGATGAGCCTGAACTTCCATTGCCAAAGATCTGACTTGAGTGGTTGTGTTCAGATTTTGAATGATAACACGAAACTCTGGTCTCCAGTTCTGGGATTCACAAATACAAGCTTGTATTGGTGCTCAGATCCCAAAGAAGTACCATCCATACTCAGAAGGGCTCACTTCAGATCCTCAGGCACCAAACTGTCCTGTCTTTTTTCAGATTTCTTTCTTAGCCCACAACCCCATGTTAACTTTGCCCTCTGTGGGGCAGGTACCAACTGCCTGCCGCAGAGGGTGCACACAAGAAAAAGGATCCCATTACTACCTATTCCCAGGGGCTCTCATGTTCTGCTGCTCCCTCCTTCCGCCTCCTTGCTGTTACTGTATCTTTACTGGCCTTCTCTAATGAATGAGCAGTACTAGGAAGGAGGAGAAAGAGAAGGAGTCATTGCCTCTCTATGTTCAACTGTGTAGGTTGGGCCTAAAGAGAGAAAGCAAACCAATATACAGTAGTAAGAACCGTGAGGAAGACCTCGTGAGGGTAGCTGGGTTCAAGTTGGGCCTAAAGAGAGAAAGCAAACCAATGTACAGTAGTAACAATCATGAGGGTAGCTGGGTTCAGAAGCTCCCTCTCTAGCCACTGAGCCACACTACCCTGCTTGTCTTGTGCTGGGGAAACCCAGGGAAGAGTCGGTTGCAGTGATGACTATGGACCCTGCCTGGCACCAGGGCCTGCCCAACACTCCAGTCTATCCAGACCCCGTAGTGCTTCCAGGGTATCCCAAAAAACTCCACAGGGCTAGGTACTTAGAACCAATGCATCCGCCTTGCAAGGGAGAGCTGCCACCGTGCCCACACATGGTGCCAGGCAGGGTCCACTAAAATTCCAAGTATGTACCTGGTCAAAGCTAGTCCCGGTTTTAGTACCACAAACTCTCTGAGCCAAAAAACATAGAGTGATGGTTGAAGTGTTTTATGTATTTTAGCAAAAGTATAAAAATTGGGGAGGGGGGTTTGTTAAAAAGGCAAAAGGCAAACGATTTCAAAGAAACATTTTTTAAAAAAAACCACCGGGAACAAAATATTTCTTTCTTTCTTTCTTTTATTTCTTTATTTAATATTTTCATCCCCCCTTTCTCCTTAAAAAGAACCCATGGCAGCTTACATAATTAAAAAAGACAATATTGAAAGGCAGAAGACAGTAGATATATAAATATTTTAAAAAGCATTGAACAAGTATGACATGAAAAAAAGTAATAAAATCAATAGTAAAACACATTTAAAACAACAGAGCACAATGATACATTTTTTAAAACCCTCTCATACTACCAGTTATTAAAAGAATGTTCAAGCAGCCATTCAGTCAGAGAAAAGCCCGCCTGAAGGTCCTGCTACATTTTTTAAAACCCTCTCATACTACCAATTATTAAAAGAATGTTCAAGCAGCCATTGAGTCAGAGAAAAGCCTGCCTGAAGGACCTGCCCTGCTTGTGGAAGGACAGCAAAGATGGGACCAGCCGGGCTTCCTGTGGGAGGGAGTTCCAGAGTCTGGGAGCAGAAACAGAAAAGGCCCTCTCCTGTGTCCCAACCAAGGACTGGTGGTGGGGACGAGAGAGAGGTCTTCTCTCCTGATCTTAACACCCAGGCAGACTCATAGAAGGAGATGCAGTCTTTTAGTTAACTTGGACCCAAACCATTTAGGGTTGTATAGGTTAAAACTAGCACTTTGAATTATGCTCGGAATCAGCATATGTATGTACAGTATGTGTTTATTTATATACCACCCGTCTAGCAAACTACTACTCTGGATAGTGTACAACAGAAATGAAAAAATATATATATAATATGAATTATATCATCATCATAGGCATCCTTCAGTCTCGAGAGACTATGGTAACATGCTCTGAATCGAGGAGTGTCCTCTCCAGAGCATGAAGCCCGGGTAAGGTAATATGGAGGATAGGCTGTTACCCAAGCAGCAAATCCCCCCTCTCCACGTTGCTGAAATGGTCCAATGGAAAGGCAAGAGCCAATACGACTGGTTCCAGCAACGTCGCAGGAGTTGGCAGAACGACACGAGCTGCCTTCGGGACTCCAGCTCCGGATTTTGCCTCGAGGTTAATATGAATTATATAAACATTTACTACTACTTCATTACAAATAACAAGACCAGCAGCAGAACAAATATTGGTCAGTATGGTATATGTTCCATCCCCTTGCTCCATCCCAGTTAATTTGGGAAAACCTCTTCAAAAGCTTCTCCCCAAAGCTGTGTTTTGAAATGTTTTTAAAGGCACGAAGGGCGGGCACTTAACATAACTCCTGGAGTATCTATCGCCTTCCATAAGGAGATTGCCCCAGCTGAGAAGGCCCGGCTTTGAGGGGTTGTTTTCTGGGCCTCTCGTGGTGTTAACATCTGCACGTGTGAGGTCTGTGAGGACTCAGTCGATCCTGGCAGAAGGCATTAAGACAAGTAGGCAGGTTGCAAATTGTTTAGGGCTTTATACGTTAAAACCCAAACCTTGAACCTGCCACAGAGGCAAACCAGGAACCAGTGCAGGCGGAGCAGCATTGGGAGGATATGACTGAATTTCCTCACCCCAGCAATCAGCCTGGCCGCTGCATTCTGGACCTCTTGAAGATTCCATATCAGCCTCAAGGGGAGCCCTACATAGAGTGCATTACAGTAATCAGTCTTTGAGACTACCAGTGCACGGCCCACTGTGGTCAGGGAACCGATGTCCAGATAGGAACGCAGCTGGGCAGTTTGCCAAAGTTTTCCCATGGTCAACACTGGGTCTAAAATGATGCCTGGACTATATACCTGATCTTTAAACTGGAGGGTGATGCCATCACATTTAAGGGAGATATCCCCAGAGAGGGAGTTGGACCCTCTAACAACATGATCTCCATCTTGTCTGGATTCAGTTTCAGCCTATTTTTCTTAGTATTGTGGCCAGGCAGCTCTCCAGGGCACTTGGACAGCATCCACTGCAATTCTGAGAGAAAGATTTACAAGAACACACCACAAAATAGCAAAGGTAAACTAATCTACCTGATAACTCACTCCTTAGTGTAGAGTGGTCAGGGAACCGATGTCCAGATAGGAACGCAGCTGGGCAGTTTGCCAAAGTTTTCCCATGGTCAACACTGGGTCTAAAATGATGCCTGGACTATATACCTGATCTTTAAACTGGAGGGTGATGCCATCACATTTAAGGGAGATATCCCCAGAGAGGGAGTTGGACCCTCTAACAACATGATCTCCATCTTGTCTGGATTCAGTTTCAGCCTATTTTTCTTAGTATTGTGGCCAGGCAGCTCTCCAGGGCACTTGGACAGCATCCACTGCAATTCTGAGAGAAAGATTTACAAGAACACACCACAAAATAGCAAAGGTAAACTAATCTACCTGATAACCCACTCCTTAGCGTAGAGTCAGAGTAGCTGAGTGCATACTTTCAAGCACTGCAGGACAGAAGCTGAGCAAAGCGTCCCCCACAACTTAGGGACAAGCTGAGCCATCCAGCTCTCCTTCTCCCATTCCAGACCTTTCCAAAGCATATTTGAATTCATTTAAATGCTTATTAAGACAAAAGTACTTTCTGCTTCTCTCTTCCCACAGCTACAATCCTCTCCCAATTTCCATGACTCCCAGGAGGGAGCAGACTGGCTTAGATGTCTTTGCTAACAAGAGATAAGGTCTAGGTGTTATTTCCCTCTTGATAATTGGCAGATATGGACCTTCAGCTTCTCAGTCAGCCTTCTCGGGCACTCACAAAGAAAGTTTCTAGATGGACTCCATGTTCCCCCAGATTCTGTTTCTTCAGAGATTTGTGCTGGTTGCAAGATCTTCCTGAAAAATTCCTGAAGCCTAGAGCTGGAACTGCACTTCTGTCTCCCTCTGTATCTGCTTAGGGTAGCCCACAAAATGGATTGCAGTGATTGCCAGCTCACACTCATTCTGCTTTCCACTTAGGTGTCCCTTTCAATGATGTCTATGCTGCCTCCAAGTTTGCCATGGAAGGTTTCTGTGAAAGCCTTGCTGTGCAACTCCTCAAATTCAATATCTTGTGAGTTCCTGAACTGTGCGTGACACGGGACCCGACCACAAAAAACAGAATCAGCTCTACTATTAGGCAGTGTGATGGGCAAGAGGTGGCTGAGGACAGGGAGTGGTAGCAAAACATGTCAGCATAGGAGTTGCACCTTGTCACACCTCCCATAGCCTAGAGTCCCGCCTTCCAGTGCAAAAGAGGAAACAATCCCACTGCTTATGTTGACAGCTTTTAAATTTGCATGTGCAAATGTTATGCCAGTTGCTCCTCTGTTTTGTCTTCTTTTCTGGAATGTTTGCAAGACCACCTTATCAGCTTTGCAAAAAAAAAAAAAAAAAGCTAGATTTCACCCACCTGACCCAGGGAAGATAGAAAGAATTTCCATGTGAAGTCAAGGCTGTCAGCTTTATATGTTAGCTGAGAGAGAGAGATTGTGTGTCCGCATGCTAAAACACCCAGAATTCCCTCTTTATTGACCTAGGGCAGACATCATTGTCCCAGGGAAACTGTTGAAGGGAATTTTGGTTAATCCCTTTTAGTTAGGTAAAGGTAAAGGTTCCTCTTGACATTTAGTCCAGTTGCGTCTGACTCTAGGGGGTGGTGATCATCCCCGTTTCCAAGCCATAGAGCCAGCATTTGTCCATAGACAGTTTCCGTGGTCACATGGCCAGTGGAACTAGACATGGAACACCATTACCTTCCCACTGTGGTGGTACCTATTTATCTATTCGCATTTTTACATACTTTCAAACTGCTAGGTTGGCAGGAGCTGGGACAAGCGACGGAAGCTCCGTCATGTGGATTCGATCTTATGACTGCTGGTCTTCTGACCTTGCAGCACAGAAGCTTCTGTGGTTTAACCCGCAGTGCCACCACATCCCTGCCTTTTAGTCAGCAGAGCATAAAATACAAAAAACAGCAGTAGCAGAGGGGAAATGTGAAGGAAAATAGCTAAAAGTCCCAGCTTCCACCCATTCTCAAAATGACTAGCCCTTTGTATGTAAAAATCACTCTAGAAAAAAAAGAGAAAAATGCCTTTACTTACAGTTGTGGAATTTCAGTTTTAATCAGAAGAATAAAAGAATGACAGTCTCAACCATGTTTGGAGACCGAAATTCCCCATGCTGGCAACATGGTGAGAGGTCAAGAACAGAGAAAGAGCATGTCTGCTGTGGTCAAAATGTCAGAAAGGAAAAGAAGAAAGCAAAAAACTAACCAGAAGTGAAGCCAACAAACAGGAAGGAGAAGAGGCAAACTAGTGGTGGGGAAAATAACTTGCTGATTGATTAGTGGGAAGGCATAGCAATTTTAGGCTGTGAAGCCCCCTCACAGAAACCCTGTGTGAGGTCACATGCAAGACTGTTCTTTTCTCCAACCAGAAATGTATATATTCAGGCCACTCATCAGCTAAAGCTGGCTTTTACATCCTTTTTAAGTGACATCCATCTCAATAGCAGAGTTCAGTCCCATTAACCGAGCCCTTAATTCAGGGGTGAAGAACCAGTGGTGTTCTAGATCTTTGTGGTTTTAATTCTCACTGGTTTATCATACTTCTCACGTGTTCAGAATCACTCTTCGGAGATGTGAGACTGAAGTGTGCCTCTAGGCTTAACCCAGAAGGTGTGGGGGTGGAGGGGAATTGCCTGAAGTGTTAGCAAAAACAAGGATATAGTCAGTTCCTTTAGACTCCTGTTGTCTGGTATGGTGATGATCCCAGACTGAAACCCTGACTGTTCTGTCTCAACAACCAGTGTCTCTCTGGTGGAGCCGGGCCCAGTGAACACGGAGTTTGAGATGAAGCTGATGGAGGAGGTGGCACGCTCAGAGTTCCCTGGAGCAGACCCTACCACCGTGCACTACTTCAAGGAGATCTACCTACCAGCTTCCCATGAAATATTCACTACCATGGGCCAGACTCCTGAATCTGTGGCTAAGGTAGGGGCAGTCTCCCAGGAAAC